GAGGCCGAGGTGGGTGGATTGTTTGAGCTCAGGAGTTCGAGACCAGCCTGAGCAAGAGTGAGACCCCGTCTCTACTAAAAATAGAAAGAAATTAATTGGACAACTAAAAATATATAGAAAAAATTAGCCGGGCATGGTGGCACATGCCTGTAGTCCCAGCTACTCGGGAGGCTGAGGCAGAAGGATCGCTTGAGCCCAGGAGTGTGAAGTTGCTGTGAGCTAGGCTGACACCATGACACTCACTCTAGCGTGGGCAAAAGAGTGAGACTCTGTCTCAAAAAAAAAAAAAAGATTTGAGAGACGAATAGTGTATGTCAGGAAGCTGTATACTTGTTTGGTGTTATGAATAGTGGCATTAGGATGGACAGTACATGTGAGAATAAAAGGAATAAGAAATAGTAGACGGTGGCTCACGCCTGTAATCCTAGCTCTCTGGGAGGCCGAGGTGGGTGGATTGTTTGAGCTCAGGAGTTCGAGACCAGCCTGAGCAAGAGTGAGACCCCGTCTCTACTAAAAATAGAAAGAAATTAATCAGACAACTAAAAATATATAGAAAAAATTAGCCGGGCATGGTGGCACATGCCTGTAGTCCCAGCTACTCGGGAGGCTGAGGCAGGAGGATCGCTTGAGCCCAGGAGTGTGAAGTTGCTGTGAGCTAGGCTGACACCATGACACTCACTCTAGCGTGGGCAAAAGAGTGAGACTCTGTCTCAAAAAAAAAAAAAAAAAGAAATAGTAGAGATCTGCGATTATGCTACAGATCATTTGATAAGGAGAATAAGTTTGTTGCTCTCCTAATACAGATTATAAAAGGGGCACAAGAATAAAATAGAATTACGATGGAGAGTTCAGCTATCTTAATATCTGCTGGAAGGCTCATTCTTTTTTAGGGAGAAGATTGGATTTTTATTTTTTATTTTTTACCATGTAAGTTCCTTGGAAGAAACAAAATGAGAGGAAAGATTCCTTTGGTTTGAAATCAACCAGGAGGAAGCAATAGGTGAAGTGGAAGAGATTGAAATACTGTGGGAAAGGAAACTGCTATTTTCGAGATTCTTCCCAAAGAATAAAATGTTGAATATAATCAAATTGCTGTCTTGGGCATTAGCAAAGATTGTGTGTATTTAAAGACAGACTCTCGCTCTGTTGCCCTTTGCAGAGTGCAGTGGCATCATCTTAGCTCACTGCAACCTCAAACTCCTGGGCTCAAGCAATCCTCCTGCCTCAGCCTCCCAAGTATTTAATAGCTGGGACTACAGGCGCACGCCACGATGCCCAACTAATTTTCCTGTTTTTAGTAGAGATGGGGTCTCGCTCTTGCTCAGGGTTGTCTCAAACTCCTGAGCTTAAGCAATCCTCCCGCTTCGATCTCCCCAAAAGTGCTAGGCTTACAGGCATGAGCTACCATGCCCAGCCAGGAAAGTATATTTTGAAAAATGGAATAGATACACCATATATGTAAGATTCAGAGTCCCAATTAAAGCTAAGCAAATAAATCAAACTCCATAAAGCCTTAAATATTGGGAATTAAATTTCAGACTTTTAAAAAATCATATTAAAATACACAATAGCATAAAATTTACTATCTTAACCATTTTTTGTTGTTTTTTTAGAGACAGGGTCTTGCTCTGTCACTCAGCTAGAATGCGTAATCATAGCTCACTGCACTCCAACTCCTTGGCTCAAGCAGTCCTCCCAAGTAACTGGGACTACAGGTGTGCACCCCTGTACCCAGCTAATCTTTAAAAAATTTTTGTAGAGGTGGGATTTTGCTCTGTTGTCCAGGCTGGTCTCAAACTCTTGGCCTCAAGTGATTCTCTTGCCTTGGCCTCCCAAAATGCTAGGATTACGGGCGTGAGCCACCATATACCAGGCCCTCATTAATAGGAAAAAAATAACTACTTGATCCACAAATATTCTTGGAACTCAGAGGTGTGTAAGGAAAACAGTGGAAGTACCCCCTTCCCTAACTTAATTCCTCCTCTGTCTGATTGACAGAATGTATTCCCTGACTATGTATTTTGACTTCAATGAAGCATTTCACAAAGTTCATGATATTCTTGAATGTGAGCTGGATATTAGGTGGCCATGTAACTGAAAAGTTTTACCCACAGTGTTTATGGATTTCTGTCTTTGGTCGGTGTCTTATATTCTTTTGTTTCTGTTCTTAAAAAAATTACAAGAACAAAGCTGGGAGACAGAGTTAATATGTCATATTATTGGATGTTTAATATATATCTATGTAAAGTCCTACATTTATACATAATATTATGGTGAATTAAGTCCTCCCTCCAAAACTAGTTGTACCAGTATAGATTTGAAAGCTCTTGAGGGGAATTCACAAAACTTTGTAAAAATAAGTGGACTTTCTTCTGGTGGCAGTGTCAACAGTAAACCTTTTTTTTAGTGAACAATTTGGCCCTGGCTTTCTAGAACCTTAAAGATATTTATTTACTTTGAATAATTGTGTCAATAAGTTTTCCCAAAAAATTCCCATCAAAAGACAATAATAATTTAAAAATTAAAGCTGTTTTTAGCTGTTTTCTTTCTGATAGTAAACAGTGAAAACATATAGCATTAGAGAAATTATTAAATAAATTGTGGTGTCACACTTGAACATTGAAGTGCTTAATGTGACTCTATGGCTATATAGAAAAATGTTTATAGAAAAAATGTTAGAAGAACAGAAATGTGTCTCAATGGTAATAAAATTCTGTTTACATGTTAATAAAAATTGAAAGGGCACTTAAAACTAGTAAAAAGTGTTTTTTAGGGTAATGTAATTATAGTGCAATTTAAGCATTTAACTTTTATGATCAGAAGATGGTATTTAGTCAGACATGGCTTTGGAGTTTATTTCATTGCAACCTTAATAGTACGTAGAAGTCTTTCCTATGAAAGGGGGGAAAAGTGAATGTAATGTTGTCTGCACTGTTAAATGAATGGCATTCAGACTCTGTACCCCAGACAGGTCAGGTCACATTTGGAATATGGTTTTTAGTTCTAGGTATTGTATTTTAAGAATGCCATCGATATGACCTTATGCTAATAGACTGGGGAAAAAAAGAATGCAATTGGAAAATCAATTATGGGGTAAACTTGGAATTCACATGAGGATGGTTTAAGCAGCAGGGAATGTTTACACTGGTAAAGAGATTTGGGAGGTGAAGGATAGGAAGGAAGGGGAGCAGAAGTGGTAACATAATAGTGGCCTTCAAATATTTAAATGTCAGCTGGGAAAGGAAATAAGTTGATTCTCTATAGCTACAGAGGGCAGTACTAGCATCACTGGGTGAAAATGGTAGAGGTAGATTTCATCTCTTTTTTAAAAAAGAATAATCTTAGAAGTAGAGTCACCCCAAAATTAAGTGGGCTGTCTTCATTAGTTCAAAAGTATGTATATTTAAAAAAGGCATTCTGTCTTACCTGAGGCTTAGTCAGCATCTAGGTAGACCTAACCAAAGAATAGTGACATGCCCCTCACATTCTGGTGATTAGGAGAGGGCCCAGTGCAGGCAATTAGAGAAAATCCAACTAGGTGAGCAGCTGACTTCAGGAAAGTTTGACTGGACACTAATATGGGGATGGAGGGTGATCAAAACGGTGGTGTCAGCAACTGGCAATAGAGGTCCGGGGGCGGGGCTAGTAACTGGCGTCAAGTAGGTTTAACAACAGGAAAAAGAAACCTATTGAGTGACTAGCCAGAGGAAGAGAGTAAAGGCTTTGGAGCTAAAGCGTAGGTCATCAAAACATGGATGCAGTTTCTAAATCTCAGAAGATCACAGTATCAAGAAACAAATTGTGGCCGGGCGCAGTGGCTCACGCCTGTAATCCTAGCTCTCTGGGAGGCCGAGACGGGTGGATTGTTTGAGCTCAGGAGTTCGAAACCAGCCTGAGCAAGAGCGAGACCCTGTCTCTACTAAAAACAGAAAGAAATTAATACGACAACTAAAAATATATAGAAAAAAAATTAGCCGGGCATGGTGGCGCATGCCTGTGGTCCCAGCTACTCGGAAGGCTGAGGCAGGAGGATCGCTTGAGCCCAGGAGTTTGAGGTTGCTGTGAGCAAGGATGACGCCAGGGCACTCTAGCCTGGGCAACAGAGTGAGACTCTGTCTCAAAAAAAAAAAAAAAGGAAAGAAACAAATTGTTAGAAAAGTTAAGAGGCAGGATCTTTAAAAATATTGACTTTGTTAGCTGGGTGTGGTGACACACACGCCTGTAGTCCCAGCTACTTGGGAGACTGAGGTGGGAGGATCACTTGAGCCCAGGACCTCAAGGTTACAGTGAGCTATGATCATACCACTGCCCTCCAGCCTGGGTGACAGAGTAATACCCTCTCTCAAAAACAAAACAAAACAAAACACACAGAAGACACAGAGCCAATTAATTACTGAACTTAGATACCTTATACCTAATGAGTATAAGGTATAAGGTCCTGTGGGCACAGCATACAGGTAGGAGTGAAAAAAATTATTATAATAGGATTGAGCATGTGAAGGAACTTATAGATGTTAGAGTCATAGTGAGAATGGCTTTCTAGTGCCTTCATTCCTTATTCCTGCTATCGTGCCCCTTGATTGTTTTGTTGTTTTATTTTTTAGAGACAGGGTCTTGCTGTGTTGCCCAAGCTGGAGTGCTGTGGCTATTCACAGGTATGATCATAGCCTGTAGTCTTGAACTCCTGGGCTCAAGTGATCCTCCTTCCTCAGCGTCCCACATAGCTGGGACTACAGGTGTGTGCCACCAAGTGTGGCATGCCACTTGGTTTTACTAGCTGTTGACTGCTGCCCTGTTCTTCTCCCCAAGCCATTCTCACTGTTAGCCTAATCTGCCAGGTGTTACAGTACCCCAAGGCTCAGACCGATCGTGGGGCCTTCTAAATTTCTCAGTTTAGCTAACCCCCATGTGCTCTAGTTCACAGAACCATGATTTGGCCTAGTACTTTAATTTCTTGTAGGAATTGAGTTCTATAGTCATTTATTATTCTTTCTTCTCAGGGACTAGAACTCTGCATCTGAACACAGGCTTGTGAGTAGGGCTGTGCCTTTGGCCAGACCTCTCAGCTGCTGACCACATATATCTGTCTCTGAGCTTATTGAAACGTAAGTTCCTATTTCTACCAGCCTATCAATTGTACCATCAAATCATCTAAACTGCTTTGACTTTTCCCACTAACTTTAGACTCTGGGATGATTTCTCTTTGCTTTTCAGAGCTACTGGGCAGGTTTAGGTCTAGATCCTGTCCCCTTCCCAACTGCTCTGTTCTCCCATATTTAAATAGACAAAATTCAGCTCCATTTTGAAATAAAGTATCCTCTCACAAGAATTGGGAAAATTTTTTTTTTAAAATAAAATGCTAGAGGACCTGATGAAGAACCTGATACTGAAACTTGATAAATTTAAAATCATATAATCTGAGATAAAAAATTGCTCAGATTATTCTGTAGTATGGAAATAGCAGGTCAAATGTGACACAGAGACAACTCCAGTTATAGAGGAAACATCTAGCATTTCTTAAAAAAAGGTATCATAAAAGTAGAGAAATAATAATACTGAGTGCCTCAGGTATCCATATACTAATTGAGTTTATGGGTAGTCAGTAATTATAAGCCATGAAAGTGTGATTAGCAGTATGTTCTTATTTTGTACCCATATGGTAATATTATGTAATAAAATGGAAAAGTACTTTGTTCAATAGTCCCAAACTGTGGTCATTTAAAGATCCTTGGACTGCAATGTTGCTTTTAATAACAGGAAGTGAGTTTGATTTAGACAAAGATGAGGGTATGGCTATGAACCATATTTATGCTAGCAAAAGGAACACAGATTTTTAAGCCCTGGTTTCACGGGATCTCTTTGCAGCATCTGACACGTTGTTCCAGTATTCCTTCTTTAAACTCTACCCCTTGGATTTAAGCTACAGGAACCTGGTTTTCTTTTTTCCTTTCTGGCTTTTCCTCTGACTTCTCAGGGATTTCTTCTCTCTTTCTTAAATACTATATACCCTGGGGATCTGTAATTGACCCTCTTTTCTTTCTACCTGATACCCTTTCGGTCTCATCTACTTTCTTTATTCTTTTTCTTTCTTTTCTTTTCTTTTTTTTTCTTTTGAGAGTAACTCACTGTGTCATCCAGAGCAGGAGTGCAATGGAGTGATCATAGCTCACTGTAACCTCAAACTCCTGGGCTCAAGCAATCCTCCCTCCTCACCCTCCTAAAGTGCTGAGATTACAGGCATGAGCCACTGTGCCCAGCCTGTCTCATCTACTTTCAATGGTATCAGTTATAAACTATGTGCTGATGACTCCTAAATACATATTTCTGGTGCAAACATGTCTTTTGAACTAGACACCCACATCCATCATCATATTCTATAGGCACCTGAAGCATACTGCCTTCCCTTCCATACTTAAACCTCCTCTTACAGTACTCATCTCAGTGTCTGGCACTACCATCTACCCAAGATAAAAATTGGGGGTCTTCCTAGTCTTCTGTTTTGCTCTTTCTATCCAATTAACCACCAAACTGTATTGATTCTAGCTTTAAACTTTTTAGAAAAAATCCATACCCTTCTCTCAGTTCTCACTGCCACTGGATTGTAAGCTTCTGAGGCAGAAGTCATTACAGATATGGTTTGTAACTATTTAAGGTCATGCAGGCCAATGCTTTGGTTTAGGCTTTTATAGTTTTCACCTGGATTACAGCACTATTTTCCTAACTAGCCACTCTGCCTTTTCCTTTCAGTGTATTGT